CGGGGGCTCCCTGCCCGCGCGGTCCCGGCCGCCTGCCCCCGCGGGGTAGGGGGCACCGTGCCGCGAGGACTCATCAGCCTTCTGCTTCGCGCCCGGCGGCCCGCACGCCCCGGCCGCGGCCCGCCCCCGCCGCCCTGGCACCGAGGCGGCTGCCGGAGCGCGCTCGGCGGCTGCGCTCCGAGACGCCGGCTGCCATGATTGCGGGCAGCGGGGCGCGCGCGCGCACGCTCGGGCCCGGCTTGGGGACCCGGGGCGAACCCACGGTCCCTGGCCTGACCGCAGACCCGTGCGAGCCGCGGAGTGCGGCCAGGTCTCCGGGCTCATCCCAGCGAGGCTAGTGTTCGCCGTGGAGTTCTAGACGAGGCTCCGGGTCAGGGCTTGGGGTCGACGGTGGCAGCGGGCTTCCCCCGGGGCAGGGCGCGCACCAGGAGGACCCCGCGGCGGCTCGTCCCAACACCGCCCGCCCGGCTGCGGGAGGGCCGCGGTGCCCAGTGGGGTGGGAGGCGGGGTTCAGAGGATCCTGTGAAGTGGAGGGGGGCAGCGCACTGTGCCCAGAGATGGGGGGGCGCAAGGTGCCTGGTGGAGGGGGGCCCTCACGGTGCCCGGGGAGGCATGGGATGGGCGGGGGCACCGTGCCCGGAGCCGCTGCCCGGCTCCAACCTCGCTCTCTTCCTTCCCCGCAGAAACAACTTCCTGCTCCCCCCGGCCCAGGGCGCAGGAGCTGCGGGGAGAAGTTCTAGGCCGCAGCTTTGCTATCTTGGAGCCGGACGACGACACTGCTGCCCACGGGCCGCGCGGTTCCTTCCCGCGCCCTCTCCCGCGGTCGCGACCAGCCGGGCTCCAGGGCCCGGACACTGGTTAGAGTGACAAGAAGGCCGCAGCTGCTTTTTCTGCCTGCTCCGCAGGAGCGCCTGAGTGGTTTCTGGCGCTTGGGGACGCCGACACGGGGTCGCTGTGCTCGGACCCCATCCCCCTGCCTGGGCATGCCCTCTCTCGGAGCCAGATGGACCTGGTTGTCCCCGGATGCCCGCGACAGGGGCCCGAGAGAAAGAAGGCCTCCTGGGCCCCATCCCAGTGTCTCTCTGTGCCTGTCCCCCCCCCCCCCCCCCCAGCCGGCCTTGGCATTCTAACCAGTGTCCCTTGACGTCACATCTCGCCATTTCTGTCAACCAATTGAAACTTGCCCGTTGTCATAAAAATATATATACTTTTTATGCCATTGGTAAATTCAAAAGTTCCTCGTGTGCCCTGCTTCCCAGGAAACTTCATTCCACCTTGGATTGGATGGCCCAGGCAGGGGCACTGGCCATGGGGCGAGGCTGGGCTGGGGCAGCTGGAGCAGCTCGGCCAGGGCCTCTGTTGCCCACTGACCCACCCTGGAGGCTCCCTAGACCACCATGACCTTGGCCTTGAATTGTGCTAGACACACCCACACACACATCACTGCCACCACCGTATGACATACGATTTGGGGAGGGGGAAAAAACAGGATCCATTAAGAAATCTTCCAAAATTACTTTCCTATGTGTTAGAATCCTACTGTGGCCTCTTCTTGCTAGGGATAGCTCCCCCCCGCCCGCCCCCATGAGAAAATTCAGTTTTAGAAAGTGGAGTAGAAATGTTTTCTGGTTAATCTTTTCACCGAAATCCTGACCAACTTTCACTTTCCACGGCTGCTGACACCAAGCCGAGAGAGCCCAAGCAGGGGTGATTTCTCAAGGGGGTGGGTTTCACTCTTTCCCTGAGGAAGGTCCAGGGTGGCCCTCCCAGCTTCCAGGACTATGGGGTCCAGCTTGGGAAGCCCAGGAATTCTGTACTCCTCCTTCCTCCGAAAAGGACTCCGAAAAGGACAGCCTGAGACTCGGGAATGCCGGACCCACGTTCTAGCAATACGGCAGAGAAAAACAATCTCTCTTGTCCTTTATAATTTCCTTCACTATTACAGTTCCCAGCCCTGACTAGGACGTGTGGAGTAAGAGGACACATTCCCACGAGATGATTATGTGCAGGGCAGTCCCCCAAAGCCACACAGATCCTGCTATCACGCCCCCGCCCCCTCCGCTCCGGCCACGCCAAGGAAGAACCCAACCGCTCACTGCCATTATAAATTCCCCCTTTCCCCATCCTTACTGTATGGTTCAACTACTTTATAAAAAACATATTAAAGACATTTTGTGGTTTAGCAACGCTGGGGACTCTAAAACAACAGAAATGCTTCGCAGGCTGGGTTGAAGGCAGAGATCTAAACGCTGTAAGTACCAGGCCCCTTTGATACCAAATCTTGTTTTTCCAAAATAATGAGCAAGCCTGGTAACAACCAAACGGGGATTTTGAAAATAAATATCTGGTTACTATTCTCATGTAAAACCATTCCCAAGTGCAAACTCTAGAAATGCTTCATACCTTTGAGATATGTTCACACACACACACACACACAAATACTACAACCAATACACCCAACAACCACACTATAATCTATTTATAATAACTTTCCTAAACACTATAAATATTATAACTAATGTGATATATGTTGTGTGATTAAATGGGTGGATTAAAACACTGAATTAAAAAAGCCACAAAGAAAAAGAGATTATCTTCCATTATGCCACTTACAACTTTTGTTCCATTGGCACAAATACAAATTTGGCAACTGTATCATTACTGAAGGCAGTGACTAAATACCAGGATATTAGCTTTGTAATTTTCACCTGAAATCATTGTATAATCATAGCGGCTTGCTAACCTTTTTATTAGCTGATTTTTTTTTCTGGCTTTCACACACAGTAATAAGTTAATTTAATGCCTCTTTCCTCCTCCCAGTTTTTATTTGGTAAAACAAGAAATTGGGTGAGTCAGAATAATATTCAAGAACACACACTCTTTTTTATCCTCTCTCTACTTGGCAAGGATTTACATATAATTTGGTTGCAGATTCAAAAATCAAACCCTGCTTTATGCAAAGAAAATAATAGCACTCAGGTAATTCTAATGGGTATTTTTCAGGTTTCAGGTTTTTAAAGTCTCTTTCCAACTCGCTATCACATTATATTATTCAAAGTAAATAATATTAAAAAGCGTGCTCACATTAGCAAAACGGAAGCCTGGGAATTGACTTTGTTGAGGAAGACGCTGATGGACAGTTTTCCTAGAGGAAGAACTTGGTCTCTGCCTGTGGGCCGCACCATGCCCGCGGTCAGATATTTGAAAAATAAGTCCCAGGGAGGCTCTCGCTATACCAGGATGTTTATAGTATCAGCCTTATACAGTTATTTTTTCCTGATTTCTCCCAAGATTTGCCTAATGGGAATGCGGCCGGCCACTTCCTGCTATGCCCCGGCTCAGCCTTCGGCCGAAGCCCAGCCTCACGAGGACGGGGCACTTGAGAGTGTAGTTTCCCTTTTCTTAACCTAGCGACGTTTTAATAGTTTAAAAATTTCTTCGGTATCCAAGACATTACGAGGACTTAGTAAACAGATGCATTTAATCTAATTAAAGCAAGCAGGATGAGTGCGAGTGAAAACTTACACTTTCACTGGGGTTTTGGACATTCGACTTGCCCACCCAAGACTCTCATGCTTTTAAAACTAGCCCGGTAAACCGGAGATGGCCAGTTTGTGGCGGCTCGTGGGTAAGATGCCACTTCTTCAGTCATCCCAGACAATGTGTCCTTTGGAGCAGCCTCTAAGGAGCTCTGGGTACCGTGTGGAAAGGCAGAACAGGCTTATGATTTTTTTGTTTCTTTTTGCCTTTGTCTCCAAGTAGTTTGTAGGTTTGGGATTCCATTTTGATACCTCTGTTTCATAATAACTTGTACTCCTACTTTATGAAGGCTTTATTTTTACTCTCAATTGTTTACCCAAAAACCTATCAATTAGTATCAATTTACCTTGGGTAAGCATTTTCTTTTTCTTATGGAGAGAGTTGAGGAGAGCGGACAGAAGCCTTCAGAGCAGTTTATAGGGTCTCAGGCTGGTTAAGGAAAAGCGAGCAAGCACCCGCAGAAAGGATTCTTTCCTTCCACACATAATGAAGCGCTTTTCAAAATCTTTTGCTTTAGTTTACTCAGTTTTTGAGTTAACTAGCAACAGAAATGAAACTCTGGCCATGGGACAAGCATATGTGAGGAACAGAGCACAGGGCAGGATACTGCATTACTAGCCAAGACTCCCCCTGCAAAAGAAAAAAAAAAAGCATGCTGGGAGAGCATTTCTATATCTTCTTTCTTTTAAAAAAAGATGTAAATATATATATATTGTGTATATATATATATATATATATATATATAAAATATATATATACACACAAAGAACAGACTTGTGCCCGCAGCTGACAGCGATCCGTTGCATGCCGGGTGGAGCTCCACACCCATGCAATCACCTGTCTGGTTAGAAACCTTCTGTGAGCAGCTGTTTTATCATATTTAACACATTTTGGAAGTCCACACGTTCACTTTCCATGATGTTACCTGTGCATATGTATCAAAAAAAAAGTCTATCAGCCCTGAGAGCATTCTTTAAGGAGTTAATTAATATTTTTCAATTAATAGGGGAGCTTTAAACAACCAGAAGTCTAAATTAATGTGTTTGATCATGTATATAAATATGTGACTATACTGTATATCATACATACATGTTAGTATGAAAAATTTTCCCTTACAGATGAGGAATTACAATGAATATTTTTCATTCCAAACTAGTAACAACACAAATCAGAAAATATGAATTAAAGATGAACGGCCAATATCCCTGGTTATATATGCATATATCAAATGCCAAAGCTACATTCTTGGCTTCATATAAGGAGTGAGAAAAAGCACAGGACAAACTAAATTTTTAAAAAATCAATACTACCTTTCAAAAAGATGTGGGTGCTGAATTTATTTATTCAGGTTGCTCAGTTCTGCAATTTCTAAAATGGAATCGTCATAAATTGGGAAATTAACACTTTTCTGGAGAATCTATTGGATGGCTCATAGCAATTTTTTTTTTAGCAGTTAAAGATATATTAGAATTTGGACTTTAATAGCTTCTGGTAGAAGGAGGTACCAATTTCCACAAGAATTAAAAGACATCAGAAAATCTGAAGAGTTTCACTCCCTCAATTTTCAAGGAATGCCTTCCTTTCATAGTTGAAAAGCCTCTGATTTTTTTGTGAAGAATTTTTTTGTATCTTATCAATCCTTTATAGGGGCCTGAAATAGTCATTATTCCTTTTGAATTATATCTAAGCAGAATTTAGCTACTAAGAATTTAAAGCAATTTTAAACTTTAAAAACTGTTAACATGTTTATTTTTTTTAAATTTAAATAACGCCAAAATGCTAATGTAAGTCCGTTGAAATTTTTTCTTCTCCACAGATGAAATGGGAATTTTAGTAGCATTTCTCAGCCCTTCAGTCAGCTAGGTAAATTATAAGCCCTCTAGAATAAAGAAAAAACAGAAAGGAAATAAACCCTGATTTAGAACTCATATGGTTCAGTGCTAAATTGCAAGGGACAGCAGGAACTTTTTTAAAAAACCAAGATTTCACAAATGACTTCTTTAAAATGATTGCAACAAAACCTAAACTGCCTGCAAAATGAACCCATATAGAATGAGGGAATTTTGCGGGGGGGTGGGAGTGTCAATTACAAATTGTTTGAAATTTGACCACAGTGGTCTTATTTATTGAAATACTCCCATTTTATTTTTTTAAAATCTAACATGATTTCACACAACACAAGTAAGTACTTTGCTTTATGCATAATGACACTTTCATTTTCCCGACTGCGTGTAAATATCATAGCTTTTAGAGCCAGTTAACAGAAAGACAAGGTTAAAGTTGGATTTTTCATATATGCCCTTTCTACAGAAAGTGAAAAAATGTCTCACCTAAATTTATCACTGCAAGACAAGATAATTTTTAATGGCTGCAAAAAAAAATGCTAATAAAGAAAGCCAATGCTTTTGTTCTGTTTTGTTTCTTGCTATTTATAGAGCAACTTTTGGTGTAATTCCTAATTTTAAAGGAACTTGAAGTTCATTTTTTTTTTTAACCAAAAGAAAGTGGTCATGTAAACAATCAGACAATAGGCGACATTAATCTTGAAAATAAGAGTCTATATAATTTTTACATGATGAACACATATTTTTTAGATGTATTCGAAAATAATGAGAGACATGGACAGGCATTTTCACTCCTGTGCTTGGCTTTCAACGATGCTCAGAAACAAGGATTTTT